ATACAGATGATCCACACAGGGTACATGTCTACATAAATAAGCCACCGTGAAACCCATTATTTTTTATAATTAATATGCACTAATAAAAGTAATAGGATAAGCCAGGTGTGGTGGTTGTATACCCATAACCCAGCAATTCTGAAGGCCCAGGCAGGAGGATAGCAAGAGCAAAGCTAGCCCCAGCAACTTAGCATGGTCCTAAAAAATAATAAGGGCTGGGGATGTGGCTGAGTGCTTAAGTACCCCTGGGTTGAACTTCCGGTACCAAAATAAATATTAGGATAAACTGTAACAGAGCCCGTTGCGCTCAGTAAGTACAAGTGTTTCAAGCCACTTTGTCTCGGGCGTGTGATAGCTGCATGTGTACATGCATGTGCACGTGCGTTGGGTTTCACTCTGACAGACTTCCTCCGTGGGTCTTGATCACCAAAGCTTGACAGCGCCCTTCTCTCTCCCCGCAGTGGAGAGCTGGCCTGCCGCTCTTACTCCACACACACACGGCCTGTACAGGAGCCCTGCCTTGTCCTACCCCACACTCAGCACTCAACTCCCTCACGTTGGGCTGCTGGGTGTACTACCTCTTCCTGGGATAACTTCGTGCACTCTCCCAGCTGGTTTTTACCTGCCCTTCAGGACTTGGGTGTCTGCTCTCGACCTGTCCTGCTCTCCCCAAGAATGGAGTCAGTGCCCAGGGTGGCAGAGCGCTGGTTCCCTGTCCAGGACCCCGAGGGAAGCCTCAGTCAGCCGCTGAAAGAGCACACAGAGATAGTCACACCTCAGGAGTGAGCACACGGCACCACAGCGCCCACCCCGAGGGTCCCAGAGCATCCTGGACCTCCAGCCCCAGAACCGTGGGTGACATGTGGCCGCACCCTGCCCATCTCTTAGTCCCCTGGAAGGCAGAAGCTGGCCCACCCAAGGCCAGAACGTGGCTAGGGCGGAGGCCCTTCCTAAATGTTCTGGATGGATGAGACAACACCTAGAGCTAAGAGATGTCAACTGCAGCCCCCCAGGTTGACAGACCACAAGCCTCCCAAGGGCTGTGGCCCTGGGAGCCACCTGGGATGGCCCTGCCCTGTGGCAAGCGTGGGTTTCAGAGAATGTTTACCCGTGAGCCTGAGGCCCCAGGAGAGATTTCTTAAGAGATGCCCAACCCCTTCTTTGGGGCCTAAGTAAGTTTTGAACTTTTGTCCTGTTGGGGCCTGAGTGACGGCAGCTATGAGCAAAGCTTTGTGCGGGGGGGTAGTTCCCGGGTTTGCTTTTCTGCCTCAGTTCTTCAGGAAGGAGAAGACAGGATGGAAGTTCCCTGATGAACTTGAGGACTTTGTCACAGCGGTGGCTGCCCGCACCTCCTCCCTGGCCCACATCTCAGGAGGTCACACTGGCGTTGGCCAGAGACCTCCCAGAACGGGAGGAGGCATGGGGAAGCCTGGGGCAGCACTGGACAGTGTGGGCCGAGGCAGAGACAGCAGAGAAGCGCACCCAGCCACAGGACCCCAGGGGACAAGACAGACCACAATTCCAGCAGCAAAACCTCTCCAAATGGGGCCTGTCGTCCCAGTTTCTTCTTCCCGCCGACCTAGTCGGGGAAATGGGGAGTGACGAGAAACAAGGGCTGGTCTCATGTCAAGCAGGTCACTTGGCCTCAGTTTCCTAGTCTAGAAGAGTGGGGAGAATGGTGGAGCCCACCTCACCTGGGGGTGAGGGCTACGCCAGAGCAGGGCTGGGTTGTTCCCACAGGCAGTGTCATGGTTGGGTTGTCACTCAGTGGACGTCATGGGAGGGAACAATCAAAAGCCAGAGGGTCTGGGGGGTGGGAGGGAGGGGAAGCAGCCAGGCAGGGCCAGCCAGCCTTTCCCATCCAGGGTGGATGTAGGTATGTGGGCTCCCTGCTCCGCCTGGTCCAGGGGTCTCCATCTTTTCATGAAGCTGCTGTCCTGCACCAAAAGCAAAGGTGCAGCCAGGCTCGGACAGAGAGCCGTGGCCCGCAGGCTGACCAGTGGAAGGAGTCTGCAGGATCCTGACCCCGATCGTTCACGAGCTGCTCAGCTCCACACGTTCAGCGACAGCCTTGTCTGCACGTGGGTAGGAAGGGACACTGTGGTGCTCCCCCCTTTCCTCTTCACTGTCACAATCATGGGGCTCCCTGGCCAGAGGGGCCTCCCTTAGCCCAGTTCAGAGACTTTGCAGCAAGACAGGAGTCGGGGGTTCCCCAAGCTCACAACAATGCAAATGCTGCTGACTTTATTTATTTGTTTGTTTGTTTGTTTATTGAGGCAGGGTCTGGCTGTGTGGCCCCGCTGGCCCGCGCTGGCCGTCCACCTGCCTCAGCCTCCCAGACAGCAGGCATCCCAAGGGTGCATCGCCAGGCCCCGCTCCTCCATTCACTCTCCGTTTGGCTTCGTGTATCTGCTTACTTGTTTGACTTTTGGCTCTCGGATCTACAGGATACCTTTAATGAGCCTTTCCGCAAATGCTCCTCGTTAACATTAAGGGGCCCCAGACCTGGCCCTTCTCAGTTCCTCAGGGAACCCCGCAAGGCTCCTCAGCTACAATTAGAAGTCAAAGAAATTAAAACGTCTCACATGGCTCTTGAAAGCCTCCAGAGCAGCAGAGCGCCCCTGGCCCTGTCCCCAGACCAGGGAAACCCGCTTCTGCTCACCCCACCATCCTGAGGCAAGGCCAGGGCTGTGGGTCCCAGGGCGCAGACTCCCTTCCGGCCTTTGCCATCCCTGCTCCTCCCTGGAGAGCTGGATTGCGGCAGCCTGGGGCCTCCCCTGCTGCCTGCCCCAGCTTGCTCCTTGCTAGAGGGAAACACCCAGCAAGTTCATGACGGGTGGCTGCCCGGTGCCTTCATCTTGGCTTAGTCCAGTCAGGGTTTTTCAAACGTACACTAAGCACCAAGGTGCCCAGCAGAGTGCTGGATCATGGGAAAGGCAGTCCAGAAACATAACCCTCCCCCAAGACCAGGACGTACTGAGTGAGTAGCTTAGTACCAGGCAGCCAGAGCCCGGGAAGACCAGGCCTGGCCCAGAGGGCTGTGCCAGTGACTCTGACCAGGCTCCGAAGGGGTCATCCTCTCCCGCCACTCTTACGGCATCAGGAAGACACACTGCAGAGTGAAAAGTGTTCATGGTCTTTTTCTCATCACGAAGTTGACACAGACCCTACTCAACCATTCGCTCTGAACCCCAGTCTTCCGTCCCCTCCTCACCATCTCACCTCCTGCCAGAGAGTCTTGTTGGAAGGTCTGTGGGTGCCACCAGACCCATTTGAACGCATATGGAAACCTTTACACGTGCAGTCACAGAAGCGTCTTCTGTGTGATTGTCCCTCAACAATGGAACCGGCTCCAGGGAATGAGGAAGGGTGGATATTTTTGTTGGTTCTTTGTCTGTTGCAATGCTAAGTAAGACTAAGCCCCGTCTGGACTTTAGCCACCCCGCTTTTCCAGGAGTGGAGGGTTTGATAGGACAGGACACTAGACTAGCATCTTCCTGGGGTGCTCCAGGGGGCATCTGAACTGGAGGGTGGGGCTGCTCCAGTGCTGAGATGTGACCCCTCACCAACCTCTCTGTATATATCCAGGCCTTACGTGCTTCTCCTAAATGTGCATTCTCCAAAATCTCACGGAGCGAGGCCTCAAGTCTGGGGGGACCGCTCAGGGAGCTGCTTCTCGGGAGCAGTGCCCCCCGCCCCCCTGCTGACTGGTCTTCTGTGGCTCCCTGCTGTTCCCCGACTCTTCACACAGGGCTCCCTCATCCTCCAGCTTCATCCCTTCATTTATAATACATGATCGTTGGACTGCTTCTCTTCTTAAGGCCTTTGGGTTGCTATAGAGACAAAGTTCAAGGCTAGGAAGGAAGAGGAGAGAGAGAGGGAGAGGGAGGAAGGACGGAAGGAAGAAAAGGAGGGAGGAGGAGAGAATAATGGTTTCCCATTTGCCATCAGCCCCAGCTCCCGCACAGGATTTCCTTGTGTGGGATGGTGATTATTGATTTCCATGACCCGCGATGAGGACAGGAGCGGGAAAGGTCTCGGCAGGGGTATTCCCAAGGCCCCGTTTGACTCCTGGTCTGTGTCAATACCGGATTCTAGAAGATTCCTCAGCATCTACAGTAGGGCATGCTGTTATGTCACTAACTCACCCCCAGTGTCGACTCAGTGACCAAAGTGGCAGCTGGGGAATTTAGGCACACACACACATGAGAAAATCATCTCTCTTGGTACAGCCAGGCTAATTAATACCCAAACCCCCAGGTAAAATTGCTTCAAGTTAGAGACTCAAGTCCCCCATTCGTAAAATGAACAATTAAAACAACACCTCCTCCTACAAAGCCATGCATTACTGCAACGGTTCACCTGAAAAGCACGTGAACCCCAGCTATAACCGTCCTCCTTCCTGTAAGTAGCTGTGTAACCATGGGCAAGTCACTCAACCTCTCTGGCCTTCAGTTGTCTCAACCTTACAGTGAGGTGGTTGGACTTCTACTACAATTCTCTGACTCAACCACTTTGATCAATGACTCATTCTTCACAGAGAAAAGAAAGACCCTCCATGGGGCTGGGAGGGCAGAGGCAGGGACAGACCAGATGCTGGTCCCCAGCAGCATGTCCAGGGGTGCTCCTGCTGCCCTGGAGCCTGGGGATCAAGCCTGGAGCACCCCGAGCTTTAAGCTGGGGTCAGGCCAGCTTGCTTCAGGCCCTCTGCGCACATCAAACACGGGCCACCGCCCAGGGGTAACAGCAGGCCCTCAGCACGCTCCAGCCCTGTCAAGGGCTCTTGGGGGCCATGGTTGGGATGCACCTGAGGGCCACAGAGTCAGCCCAAGGGACATGGGGCTGGGACACAGCTTACGGTCTGCCTTTTCTTTGGGGGGTCCACGCTGTCCGCTGGAAGGCCCCTTCCCGTAGATCCAGAGAGGCACAAGGAAGGCAGCTGGAGAGAGGCTGGGCCACTGTGGCACCCAGAGGAGCTGACGGAGCGTGTCTTTCAGGTGAACTCCCGGGAGAGCATGGCCCACGAGGAGGACTCTAGGTGGACGCCCTGGCTCCCTGTCCTGGTGGTAAGTGGCTCTGAGCGCCTGCTCACACGCATCCTCAGGATGCAGGAGGTTTCCCAGCAGCCCCCGGGGTCTCATTTCCACAGCTGTAAATGGGTTTGTCTGAGGCTGAGCTAGGATCAGGCCTGCCAAGCACCAAACCCCTTCTGTGCTCCCTTGTGTGGCCGGCGGCTCCCTTGTTTGTAGGGCTCACGGGTGGAAACGCCGTCCAGGGCTTGTTGGTGCTGTGCCCTCCGCAGCCTCGTGCCTGGGTGATGGGTCCACACTGTGGGCCCCGCAGCTGAGAAAGGTCCAGAAGACCCTTCCTTCCAGCACTCCTCCTGGGGATGAGGGTGGGCCAACAAGCGACTAGAACGTCACTGTGTGGAGGAGCCCCCTGTTTAGGCTCAGGACAGGAGGCCCCCTCATCGGGGCCTTGGAGAGAATCCAAGATTCATGGGGCATGAGAATCTAGAGTGGCCGGCCTTCGTGAGGGGCTGGGCTTAGTCAGCAGGGGGAGGAGGACATGGCTCTGGGTGGGCATCTGCTGGCGGGAGGCAGGGGTGGCCAGGCCCAGCTGCTGACCGCCTGCGGACTGAGCACCGCTCACCAGCTTGGCCCTCTCCTGGACTGAGCACCCAGCACCGCCAGGGCACTTCCTTCCCAAGCCAGCCCCGAGCCCTCCCAATGCCCACCCTGATGAGGACGGGCCGCAAGGAGGCGTGGAGCCTAAAACGAGCCCCTTTTGTGGCAGGTGTCCCTGATGTGCTCGGCCAGAGCCGAGTACTCCAACTGTGGCGAGAACGAGTACTACAACCAGACCACGGGCCTGTGCCACCAGTGTCCCCCCTGTGGGCCAGGGGAGGAGCCATACATGGTAAGGACAAGCCCCGGGGCTTGCTGCCATGGTCCCCGTGTCCTGAGCTGGCATTGTGGTGTGAGAGGTGTGCAGGGTAAAGCAGGACCGTCACCTGTGTCACCTGTGGCGGCTGGACATTGAGACCGAGTGGCGTGAGCTGTCGTGAGCCCAAGATGTGCTTTCCTGCTGGGCACACGTCAGCAGGTTTCCCGGGAGTTCTCCATCTTTCTGGAGAATGGCTTTCCGATTGTGCCCTGATTAAAGAGGTGTCAGGGCGTGACTGAAAGGCGACGCATCTCCCTCCTCTGGGAAGCATGATTCTCTGCCAAGCGCCAAGAATCATCTAGGCCTTCAGTTCCCGGGTTCTGGTAGTGCACTGAGAAAAGCTGGACTCCCGGGGCTGGTCGACTCATGGGACATTCCAGGGGCCAGTGGGATCTATTTCAGGGACCTCAGAAGAGGAGCAGCAAGCCTAGAGGGGAGGGGAGTGAGCTCAGAGCTGGAGCCAGGAGATGAGGTCTTGCAATCAGGACGAGACAGGTGGCTGGGGACAGCAAGAGCGGCATCTGGGAAAAGCTGGCGTGTCACTGCCTTGCCAGCCAGAGTCAGCCGCTGTGCTGACCCGTGTCCTCTGTCCGCTTCCTTGGCCAGTCCTGTGGCTACGGCACCAAAGATGAGGACTACGGCTGCGTGCCCTGCCCAGCAGAGAAGTTTTCCAAAGGAGGCTACCAGATCTGCAGACGCCACAAAGACTGCGAGGGCTTCTTCCGGGCCACCGTGCTGACACCGGGGGACATGGAAAATGACGCTGAGTGTGGGCCATGTCTCCCTGGGTAAGTGGGGACCCTGCAGGGCTGACCCCTGGACAGTGATGGGCATAGGGCCAGAGAGCCTTTGACAAGGGTCCATGGGCACCAGAGACCTTAGAGCAGTGTCATGCCTGCCCTTCATCCCATTCCACAATGGCAGCATCCAGGATGGTGAGTCCTGTCACCAGGTGCCCTGTCCACACCTCTTACGTGGACACTCATCATCGTGCATCTTCTGACTGCCCGAATGAAACGAATCTGCTGAACAGTTACAACGAGACAACACATATAGAACCTTCTGAAAGAAAAAATAGTCTACATGAAAGTATTCTTGTTAATATTCAGGAAAACCTGAGGGTAAAAACCACTAATAAAAATGTTTGAGTCAGATGATGCCTGTAATTCCACCGCAATTATGTTATGTATCAAAAGTCTTCCCAAAAAAGTGAAAATGCAATTAGCCTAAAAGACAGAAAGATTTAATCTTCCTTTTCTCCAGGGAGGACTCATTAGTAAGTTCTGCCTAGGACCAGAAACATCACCACCTTGACACCCAGCGTGCTAAACCACAGCTGTTGCTGCTGCTCCCTCTAGTGGCCACCAAACATCATGCTTTCCCAGGGCTGCAGAAAAGCAGAGCCTGCCTGATGGAGGTGGTGCAGGTGGTGACGGAGGAGATGATAATGATGATGATGGAGGTGATCAGGAAAGTGATGGTGGTGGTGGTAACGGTAGTGATGGTGCAGGTGGAAGTGGTGATGGAGGTGATGGAGGTGATAATGATGATCGTGGAGTCACAGAGGTGATGATGGAGGTGGTGGTGATGATGATGGGCAAGATGGTGCAGACGGTGATGGAAGTGATGATAATAGTGATGGATGGAGGTGATGAGGAAAGTGATGGTGGTGGTGGTGGTAACGGTAGTGATGGTGCAGGTGGAAGTGGTGATGGAGGTGATAATGATGATC